AATGGTTCAATGGTTCAGGTGTTGATATTACAAGCCCTGTGAAAGAGGGTGGAAAAAATGTTTTTGGATGGTGGGCATTATCTGTAATTGAGCACTTGTTTCCTCTTGCTTTTCATTGCTGGTATGGTTGCTGTGTGTGCTTTTTTTCCTGGTATTTTATCAGATGCCTGTTTCTTGTTAGAGAAGATGTCATCTTGGAGAGGTAGAGGTCAGTCATATGCTCGGCCTGGCACATCCGCTGAATGAGATGTTTAAGATGTTTTCTGCAGTGTTTTAGGATAGAATGCGCATGTGCTCTGGAAATAAGGAGTAAGGCATGGCCTAACCCTTGTTGTGTTTAGAGTGTGGTCACCAAGGAAACGCTAAATAGAAGCAGCCTTTTTTTCTGACTAACAATTTAATGATTAGAACTGTAAATCTCCATTGTAACTTCAAACTCACCAAGGAAAATTGTGTAAAGAACACATGGCGACGTACAAGCAGGCAAAGGGGGGATGAAGGGAAGATCACGGTTTTGTCCAGTATTTGAACATCCTCAAGAAGATATTTTCAAATTGTGACCTCATGTAGTAGTATGCAGGCCTTTAAATGGAGCAACAAATTAAAGCATTAATAATAGTTACTTTTGTATAATGAAATTACTCTGCTCAGTTGTATGTGAATTAACCAAACAATTCGCTAGAAACCTAATGTGCTAGAAAGCAAATGTTTTTCCACTGAAAATCTAAGGGTTGCTTAATACACGGAACAGGAGAATATTTCATATCAGTTTTGTTTATTATTTTTGCTGCAATGTGACACAACCCAATATAATTTCATAGCTTGCTTTCATAACGTAATGGTTTCTACAACGGTTGCTTAAAAAAAATCAAAGCAATTTCTTAGCTGTATATTCATCAGATCTCCCTTTTCTAGGAGAAATCTATGGTCTGACACTTTAAGGTTTTGTTAGGATTTATAGATCAAAATCTACCACTTGCTTATATAATGGACAGGTACTAATCATATTACTCCTTGCATGTATTGTCTAGCGAAGAGCGGAAATGCATTTACAAATGAGATTAAAGGAACAGGCCCTTTATTTAGGGTATAGTTAGTGAAAAACGAGGCTGCTAGAAAACGTTTTCTTGGGTATAAAAACAGTGTAGGTACAGGTATGGCACAAGAACATGTATTCTAAATGAGGTTCTTGGTTTCTTTGTTTCTCGGGACTGCCAGACTATACTTCTTGATAGATGGCCTTTTAAAAAAAAAAATGTACACTGAAGTGTGAGGCAGGCTTGTAAAAAATGCATTTTATTTTAGTGCTTACATCGGATATCTGTTCTTGGCTACTTTTAACCACCATAAAATTGCCTTGCAGAGAATGAATTCAGATGAGGATCTGATTATTTGCAGAATAGGCACTTATGAAATTGTCAACTTCTGAATTGTATGGGATGTGACAGCGACTTTCAGGAGTTTCAGGTGTTTTGCTTTGTTTCAGAACCTGTTGCTTTTGTCTGCAAGCTCTTCTTCAGTGCTATTTCCACACAGCGGGAGAGTGTCGCAGCACTACAAAATAGATAGTGACCATCATAGTGTCTTGCAGAATTTGACTTTCATGATTCTTCTATCTGATGTCCCGCCCCCCCAAACTGCAAACTCAATTCATTTTCGACACTACCACAATCAGAAAAACACAAATTGGCCATGATGAATCTATTGATTTTTCTTCACTTCCAAAAAACAACCTTTTGTTATTGTCAGGTGACACAACACGGGGAGCCACTGTACCAGGCTGAAAGTTTAGCAAGTGTTTCGTTATTTGATGAAAAGTTTTTTTGGGTGAAAAGGTGGGGATTGTGTATAGTACGATATACAATTCTGAATACCAGTAAGGAACATATTTAGTTGAAAGGGGATACTCCCAAAGAACACTTTTTTTTATAGGTTCATAGCTCCATCATCCTTAGGTTTTTATTGAAGTTATTTTTTATTTGTTTTCAGTATTTTGTGTGATGTGGCATTCCTGATTTCAGTCTAATCTCTATGCAGTGTATTTGAGGATTGTTGCGATATTTTCTTCTGCTTCCTGACACTGTTCTTCCAAGGACTCCAGGCCTGCATTAAATGCAACCAATTACTTAGTCCTCTGATTTAGCTCCAGCATTACGTCACCCTTGCAAGCTGTATTTTTAGCTTGCGAGATGCTATTGGCATCTTGGAGATTGAATTACCGGCCCTTATTGAAGCGCATGATGGATGGATGCCGGCGCAGTTATACACAACAGTGAGGTCATGGTGAAGCCCTGTGAAGCAGCCAGTGGGCTACAGCAATGGGGGGGCAGGATGTTTGGGGAGTTAACTGCTAGTATTAATGAACCAAATCCCCCGAAAACTGCAGCGTGCTTCACTGTCTGGCCGGCCGAGGTAGGCAGTACCCAGCAGTCCCTGGACAGGCGACAAGAGCTGAATCACACATGCCCGCACATAGACATTACAATGTTTCGGGGAAAACTGCCCATAAGGATACAACCGATTCCTTTTTTAACTACCTTTGCGTTTCCCCCTTCTTGACTGCGAACCAGCCCTCAGCTTATCGAGGGGGGAGGAAGCCCCTTTACTTCTTCCTTTCTGCCGATTGTATGTATCCTTTGGACTGTACTCCAACAGTGAACTACAGGGGCCAGGCAGAATGTGAACATCCCTGAAGGGGACACTGAGGGAGTTGCTGTCACGTAACTAACAAGAGAACCACTGCTGTAGTAAATCACTGTGGAGGGGAGAGGGCATAAACCGGTTTCCTCCAGCCCCGGCTCTGGATCTGACCTAACCCAATATAGCACTTCACCCTACACCGTTTAAATCATTTATACTTGTTGCTAGGGTGACAGGGATTTTTAGTTCAGCAGACTTTTTTCGCCGGGTTATGTGCTGTCCTGATAATTTGAAGTAGAGAGTGTGAAAGTTCCTCTTATCGGAATTTCTTTATAAGTAACCTGCCAGGAATGCACTGTCATTTCTGTGATCTGGTATTTTTTCCATTTTAAATGAGTTTATGAAGCCAATATTGTGTTATATCGTATAAATAAACTGCAGTCTGCATTTAAAGGTATTTAGGGACATCCTCTTGATGCTTGGCTCTGTAGAGACCAAAAACGGTAATGTATCAATAGGGCTTGAGCTGAGCTGTGTAGACTAAATAGAATGAGTTAGCATTTCTTGGTTATTCCTGGGATTACTGTTGTCAACAGAACAGAGTGTCTGGCAGCCTTGACTGTTTCCTGTTTGTATGAACACCTGCTGTCATTTGGCTTTAATGCTGATGTGTAATAGATTGAGCCCTGCAGGCCTGCGTCAGTTTAGTGACGTGAGGTGCAAGGCCTCTCCCTGCTTACAAAAATGAAGGCTGAATGTGGTGTCGACGTGACTGACCATTCTAATTCACTTTCAAAATCCAAATGTTTGACTTCTTCATGAAACATAGAGAGGCATTGGAAAGACTTTTCATAGCCTCTTCTGAGCTCTTAATACTGAAGTATAATGAGTTCTGTGTAGCTATAATATTGGGCTATTTCTCTCTTTTCTTGAGCTGACAGTTGAGGAGTGTGAAACAGCTTGTGAAAAGTTCCCCCCAAAAAGTCATGTTTCTATATCCATACAGGGAATTACTTTCTTTATCGAGTGATATATGGTTGAGTAATATCTGCGTTAAGTGGTCGTCCCCTAATCCATAGTAACATTTGTGTTTTTTTTATAAAAGGGCACTTCTGGCTCAAAACAGACTAAAATAAGCCTAGAAAAAGCCAAATAGGAACTCGAAGAAGTAGAAAATGTGAGTCACTGAGTCAGGGTAGGTGGGAGTGTGGTTCAGAACATACTGGCGCTTGGTAGGATATGTAACTGGACACCAGTGGAAGTGTTCGTCTCTCTTGCTCTGGCCACATGCCTGCAGGCTGACATCACCACAGAGGAAACTGGAAAAGACGCTGCGTAAAGGTTTGACTGATCCCGACATCTTTTATTGTTTATTAATGGCCCCCTGAGCAAGACGTTTTCTCCAGTTGCATGGCCACTGTGCCTCTGAGGCGGATAGTCTCCATCATAACTAAACGGATACCGAATACATTAGACAGCCACAAATCCCAACTCCCCCACAAACTACACTTCATTTTTGCTGGGGAAAGGCGCATTCATCAGATCCAGAAACTTGGCATTCCTCCTGCTGTTTTCTTTAAAAAAAATACTATGTACTGTGCTTGTTTTATATAAAACTGAACTTTCCAATTGTAAATCCAATCTTAAGAGTTGGTTCACTACTTGAAACCCAACACCCCATTTCTTTGCTAGTTTTGTTTAAAGATTGCAGTAAACTGGCTGCTTCAAGTTCTGTTAATCTCTCAGTTGGGAAACCTTTAAACAAAGTTTCAAAGAAGCTGCTGCTTCAGCCAGTTACTTAAGTTTCCCATCATTGTAGTCCTGAGGTGACAATGAAAAAGGACTGGATTAGTGTTGAATGGTTAAAACTCGATTTGAGAACCAAGTGCTGAACTTGATACTCTAGGTAGTGCATGCTGAACGATTTGGTTTAAAGCGCACCTCTCGCTCTGTCATTTACTTTCACCATTGTCCTGTAAACATGAGGCCCCCCCTGTCAAACTCGGTCTGAACAGTCAGTCCGTGGCTCGACTGGCTTTTCTGGTGTGTGTTGTTGGTCATGTGACCTGTCACTTTATACTTTTAGCAAATGTGTCTATCTGTATGGTAGTCTTAAATGTGTATGTACAAAGTTTCGGAGTTTGCTGGTATTAGGCTTGAAGGGCCTTTAAAATATTTTTATTTTTATCTTGGTCTGTGAAACGAGCAGTTGTTCAATCCAGGGTTTAGTCATTATGCCTCTGTATGACGCAATATATAAAACCTGAATTGGAATAATGTTGTAAAAGGTTGCTTATGGATATAAGAAATTGTATGCGCTGTGGATTCCCATGTCCAACGTGATCTCTCATTGGCTGCAGATGTGAAGAAGGACTGGTCAGACCACGCCCTGTGGTGGGAGAAAAAGAAGACTTGGCTTTTGAAGACCCACTGGACGTTGGACAAGTATGGGATCCAGGCGGACGCGCGGCTGCTCTTCACCCCCCAGCACAAGATCCTGCGCCTTCAGCTCCCCAACATGAAGCACATGAAGGTCAAGGTCAACTTCTCCGACCGAGTCTTCAAGGCCGTGTCTGACATTTGCAAGACCTTCAGTAAGTCATGTGCTTTTGTAGCCATTTCTTGCTCAGGGTTTGGTGTTCAGTGGATTGCAAAACTAATATCCTGCACAGACTGTTGAACTTGGATTGTAAGGTCAGAGGTCTTGAGGCATGGACTATAGCCTTGGCTGACTCTCTTTTCAGACCTTTCCTGACTTGGGCTAATTCAGAAATTGATGAAATTACAAGTGTGTCATAGTCATATTGTTTCCATGCTGCTAGCTGTTAGCGTCATTTCAGACACCATTTATCCCTCTGTCTGATTTAATAATCAGGTGGAATGACCAGTGAACGGTGATTTATTCAGGAAAAAAGAAATCACACCATGTTCTCGATTAGATTTTCTCAGAATCCAGACCAAGCTATTTGTGCATACTGAATTGGTGGCTTTTAAAGTATGTATGTACAAAGGCTGCTCTTTATTTATTGAATGTTTATCTGCAAATTAATTTTTTCACTGACTTGACATTTGGCACACTTGAATTTTGGATTTCCTTTCAAGCAGAAACCAGTTGTTTTTTTCTGGGGCTGGCTGCTAAGTATAAGTTACAAAACTCCTTTCTAATTTTGAGGTTTTGTGTTTCAAATCTGGGTTGTTGAGGTAGTGAAAATTACATTTAGTAAACCAATACCATACCCTTTCAGATTCTCGTTTGGAGTTCTTGATGTTTATAATGTTTTTATATACAATATGTAAAGGCTGTTTTGGCAACCTTGAAAATGTGCCCTTGCTCTTTAAATGAGGAGCCAGCTATGTAGCAATGGAGCTGGAAACCCTGAGGAGCTGAAAGGTTCTATTGCGTGTTCCATGTTTTGTGCTATCGATGTAGCCTTGACAGACTCTTGGGCAGATTTCTGCAGGAACTTATTGAGCTTCGCAAGAAAGCCGGTGTAACTAAATATACCACGTTAGCCTTGTTTACCTCATAAAGCTGAAAGCTTGCATTTCTCCTCAATCCTTCAAGCTCGTAGCTGTTAGCAGTCAGATAGTTTGGTGGTCTGTAATCTGTATGCATGTTCTTATGTAAGACTCCGGTAACTCTAAACCAGTAGTCTTACGGACACCTGACCTTTACAGCTGCCTCAGTTGTCAGGTAGAAAAGCCATAAATTCAAGATGTGCCTTAGCTACCTTAAGACTCATGTTAGCCTGACAAAAGGACAAAAACCTTTACAGGCATTTTTTTTTTCCTTTGCTTTTTTTTTTAAACCTGTGCAAAAGAAATAAACACATTAAAGTCCAAATTAATTTCCTGAAGTAAAGGAATAAGATGCAAAGATCCCCTCCCCTGGATATAATGCAGTTAGCAGGCTTTCTTGACAAGAGCTGAAGGCAGCATTTCAAGCAGCTGGATGACTGCTTTTACCACTGCACTAATAAATCCATTTTAGTTTCAGAGAAATTTGGTACAAATTGCTCTTGGCTGTCTTGGCGCATGCCAGATTGTCAATGGGTGATTTAGTGGTGCTGGATTCATCATTTTTACTTTTGAACTTTGTTTTAGAACTTGCTACAGTTTTGTAGTATTTATAAGGTGCCGGGTATTGGCTTTGGTAAAGTCTTTACTGATTAGCTCTTAAGGGTGGAAAAAACCCTAAGAAATCAATGTTAATTATCATTGATCTGTTTGCTTATCTTTTTTTAGATATGTGACAATGCTACAAGGATATGTGTCCCCCCCCCCCCGGGTTAAACTATGGATTTTTCTCAATGTTGTGCTTTAAAGATTTTTTTAGAACATCAAATTCAATTAGATTTTTTTCGATGGTTTGCTTTTTCTCCCCACTGAACTTGAAATATAAAATCAAAACAGGACCGCTTTTCATCCAGACTGATTGGCAGCAGTTCCAGACAGGGAGCTGAGTACTCTTTGCAGTGTTTTAGCAGCTGCGGGAGAGACAATAAGCCTTCAGTCTGAAATCAAGATTTATTTTTTCCTCTGCTGAATGATCGATTTTCTCTGGAAAGGGACCTGTGTTTCAGTCAAATAATTTGGTCATGCGATAGCCTCTTCTGGTGCTGGTACAGTCCAGATTATCTTTGATACGTTATTCCAAAATGCAAGGATAGATTTGTATACAGGAGTTTGATATTTTCTGTTTGAATAAATTTAACCCGTGATCCCCTCTATAAGTATTATTAACATGAATAAGTAACTGTCAGAATAGTATTAGTGAAGAAATCAATCTAAATCTTTAGGCAATCCCTTGCAAAATTGCAGAATGAGTTCAACTGACACCAGTGTTGTCATAAACCTTGCCATGTTATTGAAATTTCACACCAATCAGACACTTGTCCACCAACACTTAGGGAATCCTAGTCTTGGTATATACTGAAATAGTTTTATTTTGATTGGGTCAAGAAAATGTATTGCCATTGCTTTATAGTAGTACCCAAAACAAGCAGTGATAGTAGAAGTACAGTAAATTCACCTGGTGAAACCAAAAGACTATTGTACAAAATAAAAACATTACTTAAATGATAGGTCTCGAGTTTGAAAAGTGAGTTTTGACTTGTCAAGAGGTACAAAGTGCAGTTGATGTGGCATTACACTTTCACCTGTCTGGATTCTAGTAACAAGGCATTAGTAAAAAAAAAAAACATTCTAGTCCACGAATACATCTGTGCTGTATGTAGGCTTATTACTTACGAAAGTGGTGTTAAGAGAAATGAAGACCATGTAGGAAAATACTGTTTTTGGGGGCTCAAAAGATGTTCTATATAACATCCTAATATTGCAAATGTAAAGCTGCATAGCTTAAGAATGGTCATTCTTTCTACAGAGTTTAAGTTCCCTGACTAGTACTTGTGTTTCAGACTAACACTTGATAGTGCTCACTGGTAAGGCAAGGAGCTGGCCTTTTCTATTTAGCACATAATAGCAATTGAGTTTGAGTAGTTACGTTATGCCAAATGTACAAAGCTCGTTTCCCTTGTGTGGACTGAAGGGTGGAAATGGTGTTCCGTAGAGTGGGTGGCTTCAGAAGATAGTCAGACGCCCAAAATGTGGGGGCTTGTTTATGAGTTGCTAAGGATTGTCTGCTTTTGTGAATTAAATGTAGGCTGTGAAGGAATTATGGATTGCTTGTGTGTCTGTGGTTGTTGCTTCCCACAATAAATGCTTGTGTTCGTGGCATTTGCTGTTTTTAATATCTTTCTCAAGATGTTGATTTTGCTCAGTACCGGCAACCTAGTACTGTGCTCAAGGATTCTGCCCTTTTAGCTATTGCTTTGTAACTATTGCACAAGCTTCTTTAGCATATTATTTGGATTATTTAACTTTTTTTACACTGTTCTATGATTTCAAAGACAAGCAATATCATTTTTTATCTTTGCAATGACCTCTTACAAATATCTGAAGATACAGAACATTATTCAGTGTGTTACAAGAAGTTAATTACAGTGCTGTGTCACTTCTGATGTGGGTGAAGACTTCTTGACTGTCACTTACTTTTCAAGCCATGGACGTTTTGAGTTGTGTGCGACTCTAGTGTATTAAAAACTAGATCAAGGGAATTACTCGTGCATGACTTGTGGCTTCTGCATGTGCATTTTTTTTTAAAAGCAAACACTGCTTTGGGGCATTTATGACTGCTTGGCCATTTGGCTGTGCTAATGTCATTGATGTTTACATAGTTTGACTAAACTAGGACAGCATTTTGTCTTGGGCACATCTTCTTTGACATTGTGGAAACTTTAATATTTCATTTTCTTGCGCTTTCATTTTAAATTTTGATCACCTCAATAAATACTGAGAATAAAATAATGAAACGACAGCAGTCGGAGAATTAAACAATTAGGTACAGATACAGGTGTTGCCAAGAAGGCCTGTAAGGTTACATAAACTAGCCTTCACTGCATTGAGTGCATGCATGTGGTCCTGTCCACTGCCACAGTTTTGTAACAGAGCTTAGATAATCCTTCTCTTTTCAACATTTGCCACATAAGTCAGTGGTGGTACAATATAGCCTGTAATGTGCATTTCCTCTGCTACCATTCTTGTTTGACCCGAGAGAAGTGTAGAAACAGTAGTTGCTTCCAACTCTCATGGCATTAAAAGCGCTCTACCATCTTGAGAAATAGAGGAGGCTTGGGCTTAAGTGACCAAGGAACCCCATGACCTTGACTCTCCAGCCTCCCAGGTCCTTGTGTAGACTCGCTTCTACTCCAGACAGCACAGAGCTGTTCCTTCTGTCACATTCAGAGTTAAATGATTTGAAGGCCTATGCTTCCTTATTCTCCCATGTGCATGGTGGTGGGGTTTGTAGCTACGAGCCACAACATACACTTGGCAATCCTGTGTTGGGATGGTATAAAAATAATTGGATAAATTCTTTACTCTTCTGCAGTAACCACTTCAAGGTTTCAAGGTGGAAATAAGTTGTTCTGTACCCCCTAACAAAATGTTTTTTTCTACCCATAATCTCTCCTCGGTCTAAGAACCTTTGAGGCATGCTGATTGCCCAGCATGAGCTTTGGGAAGCATATTGCAACTTGTGCAAGGAGCAAGATGATTGAGGCAACTAAAGGCCATTTTTAAAGCACTGATTAAAACTCACAGCACTTAACTGCACACCAAGACCTGATGCAGAAATGTCTAAATTATTTTGTGACTGGCTCACAGACTGCTTTTCAAATCTTAGCTGGCAATCACAGCCTTGAAAGTATTTCCTTTGCTGCATTGTGCTACAGTTAGTTATTTTTTTCACCCTCTGAAATTGAAAGTAAAAATATTTGATTTATTGATGAGAAGCACACTCTCCCTGACTGCTGCATCCTAATTTAATAAGTATATCCACAGATGTTGCTCTTCGTAGCCTCAGGATAGGATATCAATGTCTTGTTTTTTTTTTCCCACCCTTGTAATATTCCAGCTGCAACACCTGCAATGTATATTTCACCTCTGATCTTTCCGGTATTGGCCTTCTCTGCCATAAGCTACATTCTTCTCATTTCTTGCGTTTTTCTTTGCAGTCCTTTCATGTGATTAATGAAAAGAATTTGTAGTTTTCATCTGCTCAAATAGCACTAGCAGCACCAGAAATTGACTTTCGAAAAGCGCTTTGGCAGTCCGTTGTCATTTTTAAGCAGATCAGCTATTTTTTTTAAACAGATTCCCGAGACTTTGCAAGTGGCATATTCAGTCAGCCACGGTTTCTCTCTCTTCTACCCCTGTCCTCCGCGGCCCTGTGCTACAGTAGAGCAAAGCCCCTCCTCCCAAGTGCGTTATGGGTGTGTGCAGGCCCGCTGCTCTTATTGCTGTATAAGGACAGAGTGTTGTGCTGTTTTAAGGAGGGAACAAGCTGCCATCTGGTAGTCCTTAAAACCCCTGGAATGCTTTTGCTTTAGTAACACAAACTAAACAAGCCGTCCTCGCCAACACGAAGCAAGCTCTTATTCTCTCCTTCTCGCACTTTATCCTCCTCCATTTCTGGGAAAAATGAGAATCCCATTTCATGCTTCAGGATCCCGATTGAGAGCAGTGTGGAGTGGATAGTTGCACATTTAAAAAAAAAAGTCAAAAGTCATCCAGGCACTTTTAAGGACTAAGGAGAGAGATGAGGCTTCACTTTTGGGAGGCGCTGCCTGGAATTTCTGAAGATCTGATTGCATGTGTTTGACATCTCACGGTTTATTGTTCCAAACACTAGCAAGGCATGTCCAAAATGTCCTTAAATTAAATTGTACGTATTACATGAAGTGCCTTCTAATGCATCCAGTGGGGGAGGAAAAATCGGGGAAAGTTGAGTTCTAATTTAAGAGCCCACAGATCACAAACCTTTTTTTACAGGTGTTTGAGCTTAATTTAAACACTTACCATGTTTACTTAAGTATTTAATTTGTTGAAGCAGATGAAGGGTTTGTGTTTAATTGCATTGAAATATGTTCTTTAAAGGCTGACCACATTTATCTCTTCGGTATGTGCTCCTGTGTGGCAAATTATTAATTTCTATCTAAAATGTGGTCAACGTGATGTACAGTACCTCAAAAATACAAAGTTACGTACCACACTGTTTTCGGGGTGGCCATTTCTTTTAAAGGTCACTGAAAGGGTGAGTGAGTCTGTGCTGCTAATTAACTTTTTAAATTGGGAATTAAACATATCTTATAAACTGTTTCATGTGACTGCTATACCTAAGTTTAGAGCTTTTGTACTGATGTGTAGAAACGTTTTGGAACTCGTAGATATACAGCATTCAGCATCCCAGTGTACAGGCTGCAGTATATAAAAACATTGGGGTTTGCCAGAATCTTGGGCTCTGGCTGTTTTTTCTGTAGGAGTTACCATTATAGGACAAGAACTGTGGGCACTGAGTCATACAAGCCACTAAACCCTGCTTCCCTGCTGGAATGCTAGTCCTTGTAAGTCTGCCTAGAAGTGAACGCATCAGAGCTTGCATGTGCATTTGTGCACGTCTTGTTTTCAGGTGGCACTCTGAATGGAGGATGTTGTAGACTGGAAGAGGGTTGTTGGGGGCCCTGAGAACCACAGGATTTTAAGATTTTCCGTCCCACATGTACAGCTGTTTCCAATTGTTTCCCCCTCTAACCCTTTCACACAGATTTATGTGCAGTGGGGCCTTGCCTCATGAATCCGTTTTTTTTAATCAAAAAGAATTAAACTATTATAAATTAAATCACTTTAGTATACAATTGTGAATTGTAGGTTTTCCGTATACTTGCATTAAAATCTTATTCATCCTTCCTGGCTTTCTCAGAGAACAGCATGTAACCTTTGTGCAGTTTGCTATTTGCTGTTGCCAGTGTGACCGATTTCTGTTCACAGTACTGATGGGCTGCCTTCTCTTCCCCACTCAGATATTCGCCATCCCGAAGAGCTGTCTCTCCTCCGGAAACCAAGGGACCCGAAAAAGAAGAAGAAAAAGCTGGATGACGCTGAAGAGGATACACTAGAGTTGGAGGGGCCACTCATAACTCCAGGATCAGGTACAAACATCTGTTTTTAGGACATTTCTCTCATGTGGTAGTATCTGTAGTTTTGCCCAAGAGTTGCCATAAGCAACACGGGGTTTTTCTGAAGGCAGCAGAGACGCATATGTGCTTAGAGTACTCTCAGATGTCTTATAGTTACCTCCATTTTGCTTGGCAGCTGTTTGTACCAGACTATTGCAAATTTAGAGGTGCTTTTTTCCTTGGGTCACAGTTAGGTGTAGTAGGTAAGATGACCAATGCGTTCCTCTGAAGATTTGTTTCTTGGGTTGTCTAAATGAATGTGGAAATATTGTTCTGAGTCCGTATTAAGATTTTAAATTCTGTCACCAAAGATGATGCTTCCATTTTAAATTAAAAACTTTAGCAGGTACCTCGTCAAAGGTATGGGTATTGAATGCAGTATTTTGACTGAATTATTTCACTTCTTACGCTTCTTTAAGTTCTTACCAGTTTGCCATTTTAGTATGTTGGGTTACGCCCTGCTCAGTGGTAATGAAGTAAACTGATTCTAAACGCATTCCAAACCTGCTCGTATTTGAACCTCGATAAACATTAAATCGTCTTGAACAGTCTCATTCACATGCAAGCCCCTCCCTTCCATCCTGAGCCAAACAAACATCTACTTTGTGGACATTCCTGTTGCCTCAGGGTGAAAGCGATGGTGGGGAGAAATGACAGACGAAGCCAAACACTTCCAAGAATTCAGCTCTTGTTTTTGTTCATTAATTTCATTTTAAGTCATGTTAGTTCCATTACACCTTAATTTGTGGTGGTGGAGGTCAAATGTTAAAATATAAAAAAAAGATTGTTGAATCTTTACCAATTTTAGGTTTTCATCTGAAATGTTAATTTGTTTGGAATTCTCGGTATGCCGTATGGACGCAATTTATGATAGACCTCCTGTTACAACCAACATGCATTTATAAGGTAAAGTCTGATTTGAGCAAGCTGGTATAGGGTAAAAGAGAAACATGCGTGCTTTGAAGGGGTGTCTTTGTAACTTATTTTGTGTGGCGCAATCTTCTTTTGTGAGTATATTCAAGAAAACTTTTGAAGAGGGGAAAGGTTGCATTGTTATGGTATTGTGGTAAATTGAACTGCCAGCTGGTTTTCAAATTGGACTCTAGGAGCTGTGTCCCATCATGGGGAAGAGAGCTGGCCTCAGTCCAGATGCGTGGGGTCAGAGTGCTGGCCTGACTCCAGCAGTGTGGGGTTGGGATAATGTGAATTCTCACTGTGGCGCAGCTTGGGGCCCCCTGTACACTGATCCCACGAGCAAGGCTCAACATGGGAGTTTTCCTAGGGTGTGTCATCTGGAGGTGTGAAAATGTACTTTTCTGTTCTGCAACATCTTTGCATGTAAAATACAGCACAGATCACGATAGCCGTTCAGCAGCAAAACCTAGTTTCCAAAGGACTTGAAAGGACTTTTTGTCTTCTTTTTCAAATCCGTCACTCATCACAGTTTCATAAACGCCAGTCTGGATTAATTTAGAATATCTGGATATTAATTTAGGCAGAGCTACTGTAAATTAAGGTCTATGAAGCCTGGCCATAGGTTAAAAGGGCAGAACTCATCTGTAGAGATTGATCCACCTGCTGTGGGCAAACATATTTAGGTTTTTCAAAATAATGGCATTAATGAATCTGATTTTTCTATTGAAATACTTTTTGGGGAAATAATTCACTGCAGTTAGAGCAGCCCTATGTTATAGAGGTTGCTACTTTGGGACCTGGGTTCAGTTCTTGACTGGTTTGCCTTGTGAGTAGCATCTGTAATTTGTCCCTTTATATGCATCCTGTAGTGTACCGGTATACCACCCAGGGTGTAGTCCTACCTTCCACCTTATACTTTTGAGTTCTACACAACATGTACAAGGAATAAGGGGCTTTGTGATGTACATAACTGTTCTACCTTTTAATTCCTGTTCTGTCTGCTTTTCATCTTTTTGTTTTCCAATTTGGTAACCTGTATACATCAGATTGGTTGCATGACTGATCAGTCTGATTTTCCATCTCTTTCACCTTTTCTGTCTTTGAATTTCTTAATCTGTCGCTTCTTTTTCTTCCTTCCTTTCCACTTTTCTAGCTTCTGAGGTTATATACATCGGTCCTGTCAAAGGTAAGGTGTCCTATTTCCCAGACTTTTCCTCTACTGCCCTTCCCCAACAGAGAAAAGGTGGTCTGGTCGATACAAAAGGGAAATTGGGAGATATAAATGATAGCAGGTCAAAATGCGCATTTAATTTGCTTGGATCATTAGTGCAAAATTGTTGATTTAGCTTGGTACTTCTTGGTTTCGGTTTGGCCAAAACATCTAGGTTTGTGATCTGTTTTAAGTTTATAATTGTCTTCTTAGCCCTGTCCTGTTTTTTTGTTCAATACATTAAAACCATCAAATGTCTTGAGCTTTCTCTGACTTTTTTCCCCACAATAGCTTATTGAAGAACCTTAAGCTGACGATCCTCTGTACACAGGATTCTCAAAACCCTTCCCCAGACTTTTTGAAAACTAGTTCTTGCAACCTCACTTTCCCTCTAGCTCTCTAAATTTGCTTCCTTTCCCCCCTCAACTGCATCTTATCATAATTAGTATATTGATTTCACATCTAAAGACATTAGAATGATTCACTGAATTGCTATGGACTAAAATGGTGGGTAAACAGCTTAAACTGTTCAGTAAATTAAAATTGTACGTGGTACATCATGCGTCATAAAACCTTGAACTTGGTTATATTGCGGTCGCTGGGTCGAGACTAACCTTAGTAATATTGACTGCTATAGTCCCATTTGGAAAATAATTAGGAGGGTCTGACACCTTTTGACTGATATATGGCATGTTTCAGAAATACTGTAGTTCATGGAAGATGCACTGGTGGACTTCTGCTAAATTTTTCTTGGTTCTAAAGTAGGGTCTAATATGAATAAGCTTTGTGTGAAAATTTGCACAGTTTTTGTTTGAATTGTAGTTGTATGCTAACAATCAATGCGTTTATGAGCTATGCTTCAACTTCATTCATTCCATATGCAAAACTCCAACAACGTTTATGTCTCGCCTCTTTTTTTAGGGAGCATCTACTCTAGCCCTGGACTTTACAGTAAGACTATGACGCCCACCTATGACTCTCGAGATGGGAGCCCACTTTCCCCTACCTCTGCCTGGTTTGGAGACAGCCCTCTGTCCGAGGGCAATCCCAGCATCCTTGCTGTCAGCCAGCCCATCTCTTCACCTGAAGTCCTTGCCAAGCTTTACAAGCCTCAGAGCCTCCTGGACAAGGCAAAGATTAACCAGGGGTTAGTATGGGTCTGTGGCCACATTAAAGATCTAAACCAGGTCAAGATCTTTTGTTTTGCTTGAGTTTGGAAAGTTTGCAGAGAATCTGATATTTTTTTTTTTAAGGTGGCTGGACTCGTCCAGGTCTCTGATGGAACAAGACGTGAAAGAAAATGAGGTGCTGCTCCTTCGGTTCAAATATCACAGTTTCTTTGACCTCAATCCCAAGGTACAAGCAACAAATCCTTTTCTGACACGTTCACTAGCTGCTGAATTTTCATTATTTTAGTTAGTCCACCATAAACTGGCCTTAAAATTTCCTATCACAGGTCTAGAGTAACTTCATCTTCTTAATTAAAGCACATTAATCTTGCCTTGTTCTTAAAGGTCTTTTAAAGCCTGTAAAATAATGCATCTACTGTAACTTCAGGTCAATCCTAGTTTACGTGCTCAAAGCATGCTTTGAAACGCCATTAGTCATATAATACTAAACCAAGGTAAAGCTGTGGAAACATCTACTTTTTAAAAGGTGCTTAAAGTTTTGATGCAGGAGAGGAAGTGCTGGATTGCAGTAAGTGTTCCTGTGTCAATTGTTTTCTCAGCTGTGAGGTGGAATCGCGGTGTAAAGGTCATTTCTTTTGCCTCAACAGTATGATGCTATCCGTGTGAACCAGCTCTATGAGCAAGCCAAGTGGGCTATTCTACTGGAGGAAATAGAGTGCACTGAGGAGGAGATGATGATGTTTGCTGCCTTGCAGGTGAGGAGCAGCACAAAGGCTGAATGTGAATGGAGAGCTTGCTAATGAGACAGATCTGCTTAGCATTCTAGGAATGTCAAAGCCAATGTTTTCTCTATGTACTGTTTATCTCGGTGTACTGTTGGTTTTCTCGGGGACTGACGGGATTTCAGTTAACTGCCTGTCCCATTTGTAACGACGTGACAACAAGGAGAGTTTCCTGCAGTGTTGGTGATCTGAGCTCCTGCTGGGCTTGGCAGTGCTATTTCAGAAGCTCATAAAACTGAATGACAAGACCTTGAGACGCCTGGCTGTCCTCACTTGTGTACGCGTGTGTTTACATTGCGGACTGCATGGACAAATTTAACTCTGAACTTAGGAAGGTTTGATTTTAGGTTTTCTTTTTTTATTCGGTGGCCTTTTTTCTTCTAAAGTTCCCAATTTTTTATTTTCTTTAATGCGTACAAATGCATTGAAGACTGTCGCTTCCTGTGAGTTAACGCCACAATCTGGATTAGGTTTCACTGGGTACAGCTGCCATTGCAATGTGTATCTGAGCACCTTTCACCTGGAAATGTCAGCACAGCTAAGTATAGCAATTAGCCTGGCATTTACTGCAGTAAAGGTGTTTTTTTTACCAGAAGGCAGCCAGGGAGTCTGCCTTGGTTTCAGCCTTACCGCTGTCTTCCCCTCTCTGTTCCCGCTGTGACTTTTCAGGTGGGAGAAGTATGACAGCATTCTTTTAAATGATTGTCAGAGAAATGTCCTGCGACTTTTGAATGTCTAAAAGGAAGAAATGCCTCAAACTGACTGGCATTGTCAGAGTCCACAATGATGCAACTGTGTAAGACAATATGGCATAAAAATGTTCAAATGTGCCTTTCACCGTTCTCGGGGGATTGTGGTTATTTTCAGACAAGTTTCTTAATCAAATCAACATGTTAAAAAGCTGTTTTGTTTGGCAGGCTTTAGTTGCAGTTTTTACATTTTTGTGGATAGTGCTAAAATGGTACCTCTCAAAAACCTCTGCTCTGCCTCTTTCCTGCAGTACCACATCAATAAGCTGTCCATCATGTCTTCAGACAATCATATGAACAACAGCGAGAAAGAAGTAGACGAGGTTGACGCAGCCCTGTCTGACCTGGAGATTACACTTGAAGGGGGAAAGACCTCTAACACACTGGTAATGTTTCTTTATTAAGATGCATCGATTGTTCGTTCCAACACTGGCTATGAGAGGACTGTATCACATCTGTTATACATATTTAAGTTTTAAATTTAAAGGGCATAGGTAGTGTGGGTTTCGGTATCAAACATGTAACCATGAAAAATGAAGTACAGGAATATTTCAGCCAGTGAAGCAGATGTGTTCCATGATATCGCTTTGCTATCGGAAACGTCTTTACCAAAGGCAGAAATAACATATGATGTGTTCGAGGTCTTCAGAGAAGGGCTGTGCAGTAGTAAAATATCATAAGACACCATGAAATATACACTCTACATAGATATTTTTAGAAAACATTAAGGTTGCATACACTCAGTGCCTTGTGCATTATCGGTGCCTGGCTGAGTGGAACTGGCGCTGCGTCACACTGTCCACTCAAACACTTACCATTTTCTCCATAATTGATTCATGTGCGTGTTAGTGGCAGTCAAGTCATTAGTCTGGTTTAAAATAGTTTTTTAAGGTCAACTGTGCTAATCCAAATAAGCGGCCTCTTCACTCATCTGTCCTTCTTAACCATATTTATTTGACCATATTTATATTTTTGTATTCATGCAGTTTACATTTTTATAGCGAATACAGGTGAAAAACTGCAGATAGGGCCAGGTGAGGCCCACACCTTGTTCCCCGATTGCACATTTTGAACAATTGTATTTTGAATCTTGTTACGTAATTCGTAAAACCTTCAGAAATTTTCAAAAAAACACATTTTATTACAAAGGAGCTTTGTTCTTAAAGCGTTTTAGCCAGGGCATTGCTGAATTACTAAAACTTTCCATTCATACAAAATTGTTGGATTACGCTTTTTCTGATGAACAATGATCCTCTTCAGAGCACATCTCGGGGGAAGGTTTAAGAGCAAGAAACTACTTTTTTCCTCCCGAGATATACATTTTGATATTGCCAAATCTGTAGAAACCACTGACTTATCAATGATGCGTGTGCTTCCATTTTACTGTACACAGTGTTACAGGCAACATGCTCTAGTATTTTTTTTCCCATTTACAGTGATGATGAATGATATCTGTATTTCTTGTTGTGAATTATTTTTGGTAATAGTCACAGGTTCATGTTTAATCCCCCTCTTGTCAAAAAATTTTCAAAGCAAACCTAAACACACTCCTTACGGACATAAGTGTGTAACGTAAGTTAGTGCTAGGAATTGTGCTCTTCAGGTGCTTCAAATGCCTACAAGAAGGAAGAACATCTTAATAGTGTTATTTTGTGTTCTTGCAAGGTGTAATTATTACCATTATGAATGGTGTGTGAAAGATTGACATTTTCTTGAAAGGCTTAATTTATTTTGTTTTTTAGGGAGATATCACGTCTATTCCTGAACTTGCTGATTATGTCAAAGTTTTCAAGTAAGTATAAAGTCTTTCAGAGGCCAGAACTGATTAGGGTTTTTCTATGGTGTAATTTTAATTCAATTAATGTTTTTATCAGAAACCAGGCAACCAGTTATATGCTGGGCTTGAAGTGCAGCCAGCTGTTGGAGGCAGATATTATAAAAATTAAATGCATAACTCTTCCAGACTAATACCAGTGGAGGGAAATTGTAATCGGAGAACTCACTTATGTATTCCCTATTGAGTATGAGCAGCATTTATGAGTCTGGGCAGTTGTTATACCATTGTTACATGTTTGCCATGAATCTAGCATAAGACATTTGAGTCATGCTATTGTGATTTTAAAGACATCAGAGGCCATGACATCTTCAGCTTTGAGTACTTTAAGTACTTAGTCAGGTAACAACTGGAACTGGAGTTTCTGGTTGAATGGGAAGGGGGATTGTTCCCTTTTAAGTTATTTTGAGGAACATTCCTTTAACATTAGATCTCTTCCCTTTTCAAGATTTTCTTCACTGCCAGCTTACACATCCACTCAGTAGTGAGTTCCCTTTCATTTCTATGCTGACTCAAGATATTTGTCTCCTGAGCTATAAAAACTAGTGAAGATTTTTTTTAGTGCCTTTTTCTTGGCTCAAACTGAAGGAGCAGTTTCCTGTAGTGGCCTAATAGGTTTTTTTTTTTCGTTTCAGACCAAAGAAGCTGACACTAAAAGGCTATAAACAGTACTGGTGCACTTTTAAGGACATTACAATTTCCTGTTATAAGAGCAGGGAGGAGGCTCATGGGACACCAGCACACCAAATGAATCTAAGAGGTGAGAGCAAATTTGTTTTGGGGCTGTTCAAGAACTTGGCTTCCACGAACTCTATATAGAGTATTCGGTAAACCTTATATGCAAAGTACATGGCTATCCTGAAAAAGCCTATTTAGCTGCTCCTTTTAAAGTAGAATTTACAAGCATTTAGTACTAACATCTCTTTTTGCAGTTGTGAAGATAGAAGTAATGTTTTCTCCAAGAGACACGTTTTTCTGGCACCATTGCAGTATTGAAGCCCATACCTTGTACTTTTGCAGTTTATCAGCAAGAGATCCACATACTCCAAGCCATTCAACTTGTGGATGAGCCAAATTACTGCAATAACACAAATGAGTGGTGAATTTAATATCGATCTATATTGATTATCTAGAACGGCAGAGAAATGTGGAATATACCTTATTTGCATGGTAGAGAAACCATATAACGCAACTTGAATCCTCCATTCATGTCGGCTTACTGAGTGGTTGTCTAAAACCTTCAAATACGGGAGATTTATGTGGTTTCCACCCCTCTAGTTAATCAAATGTTTTTACATTTTCACATTTTTAAATTAAATTCATTAAGGTGAGTGCAAAAGGTCACATTGCAACCAGTCTTCATTTGATCTGCTAATTTACATGATTAAACTAACCTGCATGTTGCATCTACAGTCAGACTTCCATTTTTGTATGTTCTTCTGTTTTTTTAGACTAATCCACGTTTTGTGGACAGTCAAAGTCATTTCCTCCCATTTTAAGTAGACGGTTATATAAAGCGTCAGTAGTTGTGGTTAATTTTATACACCACTCATCTATAAGCTTCTCCCCAATAATTATTAATGGAAACATCTTATGGTTATATGTTCTGTACTGGGTTTTGTTTAAGGCTTCATCATAGTGCATCCTTCTTCATTTGGTCTCCATTTCTCGCTCTTAAAACTGTTTCGTATCTTGACTAACTGGCTATCTGTGGAATTGTCAGTAGCTTTTACACGTCATCCTTGTTTAATATTCTCCCTTATTTACCCAGGTTGTGAGGTGACACCAGATGTCAACATCTCTGGACAGAAGTTCAACATCAAGCTGCTGATCCCTGTGGCTGACGGCATGAATGAGATTTGGCTGCGCTGTGACAATGTGAGCATAACACTTCAGTAATCTCACTTCAGTAATCTTGAGCTGCTCGGAGCTGTTCTGGACTCTCCTTGCTGCCTGCTTGATTACAGTCACAGGTTTCGCAATTTTGTGCTCATTTTGCAGTTTTGATGGCCTGGCCTTGTAAACTCCTCCAAACGTTTCTGGTTTTGGTTTCAGTAAACTGCATGAGGGCATCATCTCTCGAGGAAGGGAATGTTTGGAATAATGGTTTTTAAACTTCAAACAATGTTCTGTTTGATGACAGGAAAAGCAGTATGCCAGCTGGATGGCAGCTTGCCGACTGGCATCTAAAGGGAAGACGATGGCAGACAGCTCTTACAATCTGGAGGTCCAGAACATCCTGTCCTTCCTCAAGATGCAGCATATGAATCCTGACCCTCAGATGATTGCTGAACCAATCAACACTGACATCAATCCAGAGTGCCTGGTGTCGCCACGCTATCTCAAGAAGTACAAGAACAAGCAGGTAATCATGGATGGAGATGCCACTACAACGTCGCTGGGTGTAAAGAGGTGACCCTGGCTAACCAAGCGTTCATACACGGCTGTTCGAGATCTTTGGCGCACAGGTATCCCTAAACTACTGAGGTTTGAAGAGAGTAAGGGGAATTGCCATAAGAACTGAGTTTTTAAACAGGCTGATAAATCCACTCTCTTCCCCCCAGCTCCAGAGGGTCACAGAGTCCTGCAGCCTTATATAGGAGTGAAGTACGTCTTGCTGTAACTGCACAGTCTTTCTGAAGAAAGACTGCAGGTCAGCATGACGATGAAGACTGTGAGGCGGGAAGTTGTTTACACTGGAGTCTGTTTGATGGCTCCCAGCTGCAGCCGCCCCATCATATTTGGATGTGTAACATCTGTCTCTCCTCTGAAAGAATGCAGTGCCAAAAAATGCCATTTTCTGGGAGGAGTGAGGAATCCCACTGTGCCTAAGAACTCAGCTGGGTTTGTTTTGTCCCACGCAAGACATAGGGCTAATGTGTCCTGCAGGTCAGAAAGGTTTGCATAGTTCTTGCTGATCAAGAGCAGTTAATTACGGAAAGTTTGTTAGTGTTGGTATACACAGTATGAAGACAGAGATCAACACGGAAGCTTATATAGTCAGATCTTTTTGTTCTTGGCTCAACTGATAGGAGTAACAGGGTCAATTTTATTTCAGACGAAGCATTTCTGATTAAGCTTCTAGAATGTTCTTTTTGATACATGGATTTTAATGAAATTTAAACAGGGTTTTAAGCCTTTGAGCTGTAACCAGGGCATAAAATCATAAATTGTCAGGCCAACACAATAGAACATGGAGGGTTCTCACAAAACCTGAAATGGGGAAACGAGCTAAAGATGAATAAATTTGAAGGTCTCCAATTTTGTGGGAGGAAATAACTTACCAACTAGTCAAACCAAAAGCAAAACCCTTTAGCTGGCTAATGTAACAAAACTTTATGCACAGAGACAAAAATTGGTTTAATTTTGTTATGCACTGCTTCTGAGTGATGTTAATACTGGTAGTTGATGGAATGTGGGGTTTTTAAATGAGCAAACTTATGGTAAGTCAGTGGGACAACGGTGTTTCTGCTGCTACGAAGATTGTAATGAGTTTACAGACAATGACCGAGTCTTTGCACAAAAGAAAAAATTGATAGTCTGGTGTCCATATCACAGCAACAAATGGAAAGTGATTAGTCAGCACTTAACATCTGAGAAAAAACCAATGGACAATTGTGGCTGTTTTTCCATTTCCTGCCTTTGAGTGCTATAGAACAGAGTAAAGTACAGTCAGTGTACTGTGCAGTTGGCACGGCTCCAGGTTTATTTGCAGTTGATCTTCTGGAGAGGGCATGCAGCCACGACATGAAAGCACTGGAAACATCAGATCGTAGAATGCTGGGGACTGCAAAGGGGGCAGGGGGAGACCATCAGGAAATGAGCTGCTCTTGGAATGTGGCTCTTCAAATTAGCCTGGGAAAATGAACAGCAACTATCAGCTGCCTGCAAAGTGTCCTATTATTTACTTAGTTCTTGCTGTCTTCTATTGATTTTACTTTCAATGCCAGAAAGGAAGCAGGAGCATTGAGATCACGTTCTTAAACAAACATCCTTATGAACTAGATAGGGTATTCACAGCTTTACTTTTAAATACCCACTTCAGACTGCAGTGCACTTAAGAGGTCTGTGATGCCTTAGTTCATACTGCCCTCTGCTGGAAGATAGCATCACAACATTGACCAAAGTGGTTTAAAGGCTGAGAAAGTTTCTGATTTTGTCCACATTAGTGTTGTTTTCTAAAAACACTGAAGCACAATTATTAGACTTGTAAAGAACTAGACCATCAAATGAGCTGTGGATTGGAGTGTTATATTTCACTAGAGGACAATAAGCAATATGGAGTCATACTGGAAGTAAGCAGGGAGCTCCTTGTTTCGATATATTGCTTGTTTTAAAATTTTGACCCAGAAAACAATTGATTCATCGTTTTAACATGCTACACTTTTTTAAAATGTTATATATTCTTTCAGAACCTATCACTAAATTGTAAACCGTTGCACAAATTCACATTTTTTTCTAGGCTCACGTCAAAGAGCTCTTAAACCACACACAGGAAAATGAGGAATTTCAGATAGACTGCTCCAGTTTGCCCACATACGAGCCATCCAGCTCTTGACACATCACAGACCACATGGCTCCATGCAGGAGGCTCAGCGCTCAGAGGAGGAGAGGCACATCCATCACTGACAACACTGCAACCCTGAAAGTGCCAGGGAAGTCACAGAGGTCCTTGTGTTGGGTGGAACCAAACCAGAGTCATGTCCAACTATTCCCACTTTCCCTTCTACACTATTGGCCAGTTATTCCAAAGCTTGGGAAATTCAGGTTACATTTGGCAGGTGACATGATCCACGCTTGAACCCATGATGCCTGAATTATATAGCTTAACCTGTTCTCGGGTAAGCGCCTTCAATGGCTGACCATCTCAGGGACCAAATGACTACATCGATGTACCGACATCCTTAAAGAATTTGCACAGCATGGGTTATGAGTGTTAAAAGGGTATTTCAAGTGCATTTCCAGGGAAGGTCCTACTCTGAGCTGTTAAGTGGGTTAGGCTATGGCCATGTTGGAATCTGCTTGGTCACAGTAGGCTATATTTGCTGCTTCCTTTTCTTGCTGAAATCAAATGCATGAGTCCTGGCTTGAACATCTTGTTTTGTTTCTGCTATTTGTTTTGCAGCAGTTTCTCCGCTTGATTGCCTTGTTCTCACTGCTTTTTTCTTTCTTTCTGCTCCTCCCCTCCTTTCTGCTCATCCTGCCATCTTCAGCCAGGCTATATAAGGGACTTGGTAAGTGAAGTCATCGGATTAAAGTGGCACTGTCAAAAAGCCACCATCGAAGCAGTTCCAAAAACCCGCTTCGTGGGTTAAAATGTTTATAGTTTGAGCAACTTCAAATGAGATAGTGTTAAGTCATTGCACAGAACTTGGTGTCAGTGTAAACTGACCAAAACTGCAGTCTTCTGTGGTATTTTAACGATTAAAATGGGACTGCGACACTGTGGTTTACCATGGGTTCAGAACCGAAGGTGTGAGAACTATGAGATTCACGTGCTTATTTGTGTGGCCATAGTATTTTAATAGGTACGCTGCTATTGCCGCTGTCTTGGTATATTGTAAAAACCCGTTACTTCTTGTCCTATTGTGACACCACACTGCAATCCTGAGAAAACCGGTGTACATTCCTCACAGTTGAGCTTTGATGCTCCTTTGCTGGAATTGGCTATGTGGGGGTTCCCTCAGCTGCGGAGCAGGGGTTTGTGATGCTGCCTGTGCTTCCTTTGCAGATATCTGCCAGGATCCTGGAGGCTCACCAGAATGTTGCCCAGATGAGCCTCATTGAAGCCAAAATGAGATTCATCCAAGCCTGGCAGTCGCTTCCCGAATTTGGCATTACGCACTTCCTTGCTAAGTAAGTTTCTGCCAAATGAGGCTTTGTGAAAGAGTATGTTTGTAAAGAGAACATCCGTGAGCTGAAGACATGAACGGTCTGAGGTCAACACGTTGAATTGCTCTATTCCAGTTCTCACATTTGTGGCGGTTTTTAACTACGATAGGATGCTACCTGAACATCTTGCAGAATTTATGCACAAACAACATTTTGGTGGTTGGTCTCAGAGTCAGTTCATATAAAATAGCTGTGAGTTTTGTGCTGCTTTTGTTTAGGCTTTAAAAGGAAATGTCTCACTGCCTCAGGTTCCAGGGTGGGAAGAGAGAGGAGCTGATAGGAATTACCTACAACAGGCTGATCCGCATGGATGCGAGCACGGGAGATGCCATCAAGACTTGGCGATTCAGCAACATGAAGCAGTGGAACGTTAACTGGGAGATAAAAATGGTATGTTACTGGTGCTTATGGCTAAATATCCAGTAATTGAAGTAATTATAATCCTTATACTTAAGTCTAAGGTGCTTTTCTGGACACTTCACTCAAAGCGCTTTACATGAGGACTCTCCTCCACCACCAATGTGCAGCCCCACCTGGATGATTTGACGGTAGCCATAATGCACCAGTACGCTCCCCACACACCAGCTAGCAGTTTGGAGGAGAACAGAGTGATGAAGCCAGTTCATAGATTATTAGGAGGCTATGAGTGGTAAAGGCAGGGGGAAATTTGGCAGGGAAAACATCTGTACTCGTTCCCCCAAAAACCCTCCTTGGGATTTTGAATGACCACGGAGTGTCAGGGCCTTAGTTTTACATCCCATCCAAACAAGGACAGCACCTCTTTTTTTAAAGTATAATGTTCCCGTCACTATACTGGGGCATTCGGACCCCCACAGTCCATAGGGTGAATGCCTCTCTAGGGATTTCACTAACACCTCTTCCAGCAACAACCTTAGCTTTCCCAGGAGGCCTCCCATCCAGGTACTGACCAGGCTCACACCAGCTTAGCTTCAGTAGACTGTCAGTGGTATTCATTTTCAGCTAGTGTAGAGTTTTTTTAAAGTGAAGTACAGTTCACATCCTGTTTATAATGAGTACAAACATATGTCAACATTTTCCAGATGTCTTAAAAGGGGCTTATTTTGGTTGTCTAAAAGCTTTTCATGGAGAAATATTATTTCTGTGTAAATGAAACTTTCTTCAGAACCTAAACTTCTCAGAGTTTCCACCTTCTGCCTGTTTAGAACATAGCCATCAGTACCTGAGCACTATTACTGAAATATTAGAATTATCTGGGTATCTACAGTAGTGAATCACTTTTTTTTTTTACGATTCCATTTGCTTTGTCATCGTATTCAGATGTGAGGTCAGTCAGAGCAGTGAGTGCCTCTGTTGTAACGGTTGTTTCTTCCTGGTTCCCAGGTGACGGTGGAGTTTGCGGATGAGCCTAGCCTCTCTTTCATCTGCACGGAGGTGGACTGCAAGGTCGTGCACGAGTTCATCGGTGGGTACATCTTCCTCTCGACGCGTGCCAAGGATCAGAACGAGAGCCTGGATGAGGAGATGTTCTACAAGCTCACCAGCGGATGGGTCTGATCCAGGAGGGTTAAGGGAAGAGGAGCAGGGTGGAAGTGGAAGTGGGGTTCTACCGTGCGAAGGATCCGGCATGGTTGGGCCATTCACTTCAAAATGAAGCCATTGCGTTAACTTGACATGTATTTAAACACTAATCATACTCTGTCACAGTCCAGATGAACAGATGACAGCTGGGAATACTCAGACCTCCCATGGTTTCAGTAGCAGGTGCAGTGATTGACCAACAGGTGGAGCCTGCTGTTGAAAATAAAATAGCCTCTCGCCAGCTCTCGGCAAAGCTTCTGCTGTGTGACACGTCGGAGAACTGTTAACTCTTGTGTGCTCCAGAATTGTCATCGTTTTTTGATTCGCAGTTCTTTGATTTGCAGGACAGTTTAATTTGATTTGCAACCATTATATAATTACATTTATTTGCCCAAATGACAGATTAATACAGAGAAATGTTGCCAGTACCCATCTCACTGTTCTTATATCTTTATATAGCCAGAAATTAACCAGTCCCTGCTAGTTAAAGATATCTTTTTGGCTGTGTTTTTGTTTTGTTAGTGCTTTTTATACTGCCTGTATAAAGTAACTACACATGTCCAGTTAAATTGTTGAATCTTTCCAGGTTATGTTTTAATGTCTGCATTGATTTATGGCAGCAAAAATTCCTCTCTCTCCAGGCCATTGTTCCTGCACTTGAGGCTTTTCTCCCTATCCTCTTTTTAAGCTCTAAACTCATTCTGTTTAGGTCAAAAACATACTAAAACTATTTAACAATTTTAATATTCATTGGGATTAGTTGAAATTGACAACTGTAGCTTGGAATCTATGGGCTTAAAACCCCATTGTAGCAGTTCGAATTGAAAAACATCACTACCACATTTTCCAGGCCTTTGTCACAGTGGATCTTGGAAAGAGGAGTATTCTAAGAATGTGAGCTATAAACATCAGAGTTCTTTATTTAGCTTCACAGTTGCTCTGCTACAGCTCAGTAGAGATTCTAGCCTTTTAAATAGCTTTTTTTAATCCACCCCTGCCCTTTAATGAATGACCAGACCTTTCTGTGTACCTGCAAACATCAGCCTAACTTTGGAGATGATGGTATGAGTGGACCTGAGTCACCAGTTATTCCCGAACACAACAATGTTACTGATGTTTGTCAGAACAACTACAATTCCAGTTTGTCCATTCCATCAAGCTTCTGTGACCTCAGCTGAACTTGTCTTGTTTTCCTCTTTCCTTCCCCTAATGGTTTTTCACTAAGCATGTAAAAATCTGCATGACTTTGGATCTCTAGGACAGTGATTACTTACCATATCCACCAGGCATCGTCCCTGATGTCCTCCTAGAGAAGATGCCAAAGGTCTCCAGTGGTGGTCTGAGAGATTTATGGTTCAGATGCTTCCCCAGTTGTGTGTTCTAAGCGGCTGTTACTACAAATATTAGAGCATTGCTCAAACTGGATTGTGAAGGGTTTCTCTTTTTGTTTAAGCTCGTTGACCTATTAATTTTTCCTAGCCATACTTATTTTACACCGTATAGTATTATGCAACATCATTGTATTACTCACCAGCAGTGTCACCAGTTTTAAGAAGAAATATGCAAAGTCCATTTTATTCTCTATATGAAGGAACGCTAAATGAAGTATTCGTTTTGTGTAACTAATGTAAAAACACAAGTTTTATATAATTGTACAGTCTTTTTTTGAAGTATAGTTTCACAGAGGACAAGAGTAGCCTTTGGTTTTGTGTAATATGAAGTTCTGTGCCTGCCAATGTTAAGGTCTTATGAAGTTTTTTTTTTTAAAGTATATATAAATATATTAAAATGCTGGTCTCAAACTCCAGGTCTAGATATTTCCCCATATTTTTATAATAACTTTTTTATGTAGGGTATCTGTATTTATCTTTGCATTCTGGAACTGGCACCTACTCTTCCATTACTCTTCGAGATCGTAGTATGTCAGGCTTCATTGTATGCATGTCTTGCATTTGGCTCTCAAATTGTATAATTCCTCCTCACACACTCTTGTTCCTAACTAAGTGTTTTAAATTGAGAAAAGCTTCTCCTTTTGTTCAAACACTCTTGCCTTATTCTCTGACAGTTCATTGTTTTTTCATAGCACCATTGGGTAGCATTTTTTTTTTATTGGAAGCTGTATGCTCACCAGAATACAAAAGCATGAAGGAGCTTTTTTGTTTATCCCTGGAGTTTGAGACTTCATGCCATAGAATGAAGTAAAAAAATTGCAAGCTTTGCCTCTTTAGTGTTTTCCTCTTTATAACCCATTAGTTTTGTGCCTTGGATGTTCAGGACGGTAAGGCATGGCCTGTTTTTAGACTGTAAAAATGCATTATTTTAAAAAATAAAAAATAATTTTTATTTATGTTTTAGGTGCTTTATTTTTGAGATGCAGAAATACAGTATTAAGCTTTTGTGGTGTCTTAACATGGCACTAATCTTACCAAGGCAGTCTCCTTTGAATATTACGGGTGATCGAGCCATAGACAGTATTAGTCTGCCAAGAGAATCCCTGAAATCGACATTCATTTTTTTTCAATGTGGTTTGTTGCTATGGAATAATTTGACAATAAAATTAAATTGGTTATTGAATTGGTGTGCTGGCTGAATTGTCCAAAACAGCTTATTAGAATGTGGTTAAAGAGTCATTCATTTTCATACTAGGACTTTTTTGTGCAATGGTACTCTCAGCCAGCAGGGAGCAGTATGCGATTGTCCTGTTTTCCCAGTGGAATGACTGTAGAGCCTTATAAGGAAATATTGCTTTGCCTGTAAAACTGTAAATTTCTGACCTTTATAATAATGATAGAAGTGGAGCTGTGGAAGAAGTAGTTTTTTTAAAGTAACTTTTGTGCAGGATGCACTTGAGAAACATTTACAGTGTTTTTGTTTGCAGTCTCTGCGTACGTTTACCAGTTCGTACGACTCTCTGAAAGCCCTACGTCTTCAGTCTCCCGACGTTGATCTTGAATTCCTATTAATATTTGTGCATTTGTTAACTTTGTAATGCTGTTAGTATCACATTTGATTCCACTTCTTGTTAAAAGCGAGGATTCTTATTGCAAATGATTGTTGGCATTATCAGAGCACGTTGAGAGCCTCTGCTTTCAAACCATCCTCTTACAATGGAAGACCCAGGTATGATTTCAGTGGTGTGCTGTCAGCTGAAGGATTTCTGCCAGGGATTGGTGGGTGTATTTATGAACGCTGGGGTGCTATGGCGTCATCAATACCATCTTGAAGGCAGAAGCTCTTATTTTAAGTACTCCTGATTTTATTTGGAACTCCTGTTCATATTATTGCTTAATGCCTTATAGTTTTGGGGGGTCAGTGTGTTCCTTGAGGCTTCTGTGTCCTGCATACTGAGATGTCATATTCCTTTATATGGTAGATCTAGGAGGTGTTAGACCTGGTACCATTACCATGGCATTGTAGGTGGCTAGTAGAGATACTTGCTGCAACCTGCCTTGCTATTTCTCAACACCAGACCACCCCATGTGAGTCATGATGAAATCTGAGAACTATTTTTTAGAAAATTCAAAGAACAGGAGGGAAGGCTTAAACAATAAGTCATTACCTTTGGTATAAAACCTGTTTTTCCTGTAACTTGTTATATTAAATTGAGGTTTAGCAATTCCAATATGATTACACAAATGGGTAACTTATCGCCGAGGATGGGATTCCTGTAGGTTTCAAGTAACAGGAGACATCTTATCCTAATCAGTTCAATTAAATCAAGATCAGAGGGAAAAGGTCCTGTGATCAAGGCTGGTGATTTTGAATCCCCTTACTACAATATCTTGGGGGGTGTTTTTAGATATTAAAAGAAAATTTAAACCAGTTGATAACTATTACTCTGAACATGCTATAGTAAATTCTGGGTCTCTTTAAAGAATGCAGGTGCAGAAGAAAAGAAAAATCAACATAAGTCACCTGGCAGTAGCAGTCTGAGTGGGGGGGGGGCTCCATTCAGATCTTGACATCTTGCTTTCATTTATTCTTAAGCAATTGTAGAAGAACAGCAGTCTTTAATAGTTTGTCATAGTATATTTTTTATGGTTCATTTTGAAATGGTTTTCATTGTGACCTGACGCTTACATCTTCAGCTGACAAGATGTTAGAAAAGCATAAAAAGTTTCTTAACTTCTGCAATAATTTGCCTTCAGTTGGTCTTTCATTTTACAACACTCTGCATGTTTTGTCTGTGGTGGGGAAACGTGCCGGGACCAACGTTCTCATCACTTACTAGGTGGGTAACAAGTCTTCATGATTATAGGTGTTTATTAACACTGTTTTCTATCCCATTTTGGAATAGCACTGTTCAATCTCAATGTGTTAAGTAAACATACATCTGGTTGTCCCAAATGACTAGGCCATTTTCACTGTTTTTTTCATAGAGCACTGTGTTCAGCACCTACAGTAATTGAGTTTAAACTGATTCCAGTTTAAATAGCACTGTCGTCTCATGAACCAATGGAAATTTGTCCGTCATGACTATGGGACACATCACTTCGTTTTCTGTTTTTTTTCTTCACGACTGAATATAAAGGCCTTGAGTAAATGTTGGTTACCTTCTACTAGTGACAAAACCCGATTTCTGGTGATTTTGTACAGGAAGCTATTAATTCTTAAGGAATCTTCCTATTAAAGGCTTGCAAATGAAGCTTGATAGTTCTGTTTTTGATCCTTTTTTGTGTTTGCCACAGCTGAATCCCTCCAACCAGCTCTCATGCTCAGTTGCCAGAGAGCTGTCTGTTGTTGACTTCAATTTGAAACAATTAATTAGACTATCTTCTGATACTAATGCGTCTTGGCGCAATACCAGTCGTGAGATGCGAGGGATCTTAACTAGATTTGGAATTTGACAGCATGGATGTGTGGGTGAAATGGCTACATCAAGTAAAAGCACTGGGAAGTGACGCAGATGAATTTTCAATGCTTTTGTCGGCTTGCTTCTGTATGTGAAGCTGCTGATGTAATGTTACATTTATGCCAGGAGGGAGAAAATGAGCTACTGTCAGAGTAGTTTTTTTAGACAGCCGAGGACTTTCAAACTTTAACACCTCAGAGCCATATGCTTGCCTTCTGTTAGTAGGTTTCCTTGGCAAATACCAGATGATATACTGTTTGCTCTACTTAGACTGCAGATTCTTAGAAGCTGCCTGCTTTACATGTAAAATTTGTATCATTTATTGTTTTTTCATATATCTTTTTACTTCAACCAAACTGAGCAATACTTAACCTTCTCTTTCAGGCTTTTTTAAAATTAAACCTCCCTAAATTTCAATTGCATTTTGGTTTAAATTGGTATAACGTATCCTTATTAATAAATATTTTTACTGAACATGGACATTTTCAACTTGTGTTGGAAGTACTATGGCTCTCTAGGAAAATGTGACCAGAATATTGTTACAGATATTGAAAGTGACTATTGAAGAGTCTTAATCTAGAGGCAATTAACACCTGGCCTGTCAACATTTAATCTCAAGAGCTTCAGGACGAAAAAAGTAACTGGGGTGTCTACTGAGTGGAAGAGGGTCTGAGACACTAATCAAAGTGTCTCACTACCTGGCTTACCTTGGTTAGTTAGGACCTGGCTTAGTGGTTAAGTCATCAATATTATTAGGAACAGAGAATAAAAACAGGTGGGCAGGCAGAGAAAGGAGGACATGGAAAGAGAAAGGAAGGATATTAGAAAAGGAGTGGAGCGAGAGGAGGACATAGAGGAGAAGGACCTCTCACCTGGAAGACACTTTGTCTAGATCATCCCTAAAGACCAGATTTTCATTAAGTATTTGAACTTTAAGAAAGCTTGCCATTCTCTTCTTAGGAAACTGATTTCCTGTCTAGAGAATCCCTAGGTTATAAACGGTCTCTCCTGGTAGTGGGAGATGGGTAAACCCAGATGCTATAAAAGGAACGGGAAACCTAATTGTATTCTGTTATGTCCAGAAGCCAAAATTCTCGATGGATTGTGTAGGTGTTGCGTATGATTTGAATACTTGGAAGCAGTTTGGGTTTTTCTGGTTGGTCGGGACATAGGCCTCTGGGAAGCCCTGTTTGTAAATGGCATAACTTGCATGTTGCGTGTCATTATTGATAAATATTTGTTTAACCAGTGTGTCTGACTTATTACTCTTTTCACCAAAGGCTTGCGAGAGAACAAAGAACTCTATTGCCTCTAATTATACCAACCACTCTGGTGTATTCTTGGCAAAATCTTTGCAATCTGGGGACTATTTTCAGAGCCTCTATTTTCAACAATATGATATTTCCCACATTCTGTACCTGAAAATCTAATGCATTCACAACATTTTCTGCATATAATTGGACTTGTAGACAATTAAGTGAATTTTTGATTCTGCATGTACATTTAAAGTATAAAAGGAAATCACTTTGGCTTTAAGAGAAAGGAAAACTGGGTTGGACATTACACATCCTCTTAACATTTTAAAACTAGAGGAAGCAGTTAGGATCTGTAAAAAGCCATTGATTACCAATCTTCTAACAGACAAGTTCAGTATGGAATGTGAAGCCTTCAGGGTTGAAGTGGTAACTATCTCAACTGAGAAAGGAAAAAATGACTGCAACTTCTAGAAAGGCTTGGATCTTACCCATTTTTTCCCTGGGTACAGTACAGTACCCCATTTAGGAGCACAAACAAATCTGAAACCAGAGATATTTGCAGAGGATCTTTAAGACTGTAGCTTTCTTTCAGTATCTGAGTGAGAAGCTTAACAATACAAACTCTAATGCTCTTGTGCGAATACAAAGACTGCAGTTACAATTGTAAGAAAACAAACAGTGGAAAAAAGTATGGAATGTATCTAGCTCTATAAAGAACACAATCACTGTAATTTGTTCATAACTCTTACAAAAATTAGGTTAATTTTTTCCACAGAATATAATTGATCACTATGCACTATGTGCACTAGAGGAATGAGTGAATTGCAGTATCTAAAGTGTAGTGTAAATGTGCACTTTGACAAAAAAAATCCACTCATAAGGACCACATCCCAACTGCTGCTCGCGATTGTAATAGAGGAACAATATAGATTACAAAGTCCCTTTTGCTTCAAAGATTTCCAAAATAATTCTTCAGTCGTGGGATGCCAAAGTGCTAGTTAACATACTGTAACCTCCTTTTTTCTTTGCTACATGTTTTATATATTTCTTTAGGTGCTGTGCTAGAATCTCCCCTGCATGCACTTATAGCCTGACTGTTCTTGTTGGTATATAGAACAGCTTAAGGAAACACTGCCCTTTTCATATTTCAAGCACCTAGAACTGCATAATTGGGGATCTTTAAGAGCTAAAACAAAAAGGCACAGGGCAGACTATATTTCCCAGACCTAGGCACAGTATATTCATGATATTCCTAATGTGTAATAAAGGATTTATTCTAATACTAGATCATCTTAACCTGAAAGGGCATTGTATATTCCTATCTCTTGGAAAGGACAGTGTGCTCTCACTCAGAGTGCACTGAGCTCAAACACAGATACTGAATTTCAACTTAGCACCCTGAAGAGGAGGCCCATTTACCTGCTAAATGATAGGTTTCAGAATTACTCCACCACTGCATCTTGAAA